CTAGCTACCTAAATATTTATCTTAAATATTTAGCTAGCTACCTAAATATTTAGGTTGCAACTAAAATATTTAGCTAGCTACCTAAATATTTAGGTTGCAACTTAAATATTTAGCTTGCAACTTAAATATTTAGCTAGCTACCTAAATATTTAGGTTGCAACTAAAATATTTAGCTAGCTACCTAAATATTTAGGTTGCAACATATTTAGGTTGCAACTTAAATATTTAGCTAGCTACCTAAAAATTTAACTTAAATATTCAGCTAGCTACCTAAATATTTAGGTTGCAAATATTTAACTAGCTACCTAAATATTTAACTTAAATATTAGCTTAGCTTACCATTTTAGGTGGTAATTTTTGACTATGTAACTTTACAAACGGCACCCCATAAGGGTTAAACATGTACAGGTTATTTTCTGGTTTAGGCTACAGAAATGAACAAAAAATCAATACAACGTCCTAACAAGGATAGTTATACAAACGCGCGCGCGCGTGTGTGTGTGTGTGTGTGTGTGTGTGTGTGTGTGTTGTTCTCCTTACCGTGCGGTGTGATTGTCTGGACTGGCTTGCCTTGGCCTCTGATGTTCCATATGGTCAGAGTTCCATCTGAGTGACTGCAAATGAACTGCTTGCCCTCATGATGCCAAGCAACTGAGTGGATAGCCTAAGAAATGACAAGCATGGAGGGAGAAGGTTGGTGGGGTGAGGTCGGACWGCGGTTCAGCTGAATAAAAGCATCATGCGCCTTATGCTACATGTTTGTTCCAGTACTACAGCCACACAGTATATGCTGCTAGTGAGTGGTTTAAAGGCCTGCGATTGTGTGCTCATAGACAGATGCTTTAAGGGAGATAACTGACTTCACACCATTTTCTTTCATTCACTGAACTCAGTGATTTAAAGCGTGTCTCAGACCTTTAATTAAGATATCCAGAAATTGTTTTGACTCGTGAAAAAGGGCATGAAATGTTACCATTAAAAGCTTGAGTCAAAGTTTAAAATTACAAATGGGGGCAAAGTTGAAAGAAAGAAAAGGAATCAGATGGAGATACTGATCTTTAATGGAGATGAGCTAACAAGGAAGATTGTCCTTTTATTTCTCCCATCAGCCAAAGTGTTGTTGTCATGATTGTTTATCCACTGACAATAAAGCACAGAAATCATAAGCATGTTGTGACCAAACATGAGTTAGTAAAGGATTGACTATTGATACCTTATTTAAAAATCAGATCCATTTGCCATTACGCAACTTTAATTTGACTTTGCTGCATTTTGCAAAAATAGCTTCAAGAAACAGGACAGCATAGAGAATAGTACCTAATTAACTCTGGTCTGCGACTTTAGTAGTTATTTATGGTAAAAGACATCYGAATTATGAAAAATGTGTTTGATAGTGAAGACTCTTTGTGGGTTAATCAGTCACCAAATATCATTTCACAAAGCATTCTTAGATTTCAGAACTTCCTTATTTCTTGTTTGTAAAGATTTGTTTTATAGGAATAATGAGACCTGATGATTAATGGCTGAGGTGGTCTTCTGAAGCTGGTGGCAGTGATGTGGTTAAAATGGATAGTCTGTCGGCCAAGACAGAATGACAGTTTGTCAAAAATATTTGCCACAATTGATTCATCACTGCGCAGCGCCAAGTGGCAGGGATGTATGTATGTAGGTGTTCAGAACGAAGTGTGAAGAAATATTTTTTGAACAAGTGTATTTGTGTTCATGACTACTAAATAGATCTTCAGTCATAGTTGATTTTCCAAGGTTCTTATCCAAAGTCCACACCGAGCATGACAGTATAGATGGTGTCTGAAGACTGAATCATGATTTCTACAACTTTAACTCCAAACTTTGCGGTTTTCAACTGAGGAAGCTTCTCAAACATGAAGTGAAATGTCTTCCCTGTATTGAACAAGTTAATGTAATCCCTCATTCACTCTTTTAATAGTGATTTGRTAATGACAGACCTCTAGATAGATTCCCAAAAGTCTGTCAGGGCATTGTTCATTTTGACAGTCCCAACAGGCAACAATGCACTCCGCTTAATTGGAAAATGAGCAGGGTAATTAAAACACACGGTACTCGTCAAATCAAACAATACCAATTAAAAAGACTAATTTCATAATTTATCACATTAGGCCTCTTTTCCACAGACTGGTCTTTGGGGAAGAGAGAATTCAGYCAACACTCATTACGGTCACATGAGAGCACCTCACGTTCACATTCACAGTGAAGACAGTAACGAGCTCGAACTTTAAGATCACTGTAGAAAAACAGACGTAACACATAAGAACATCACGGCCCYGAGTTTGAAAATCATCTGGCAGCCTCATGTCATACCGGGACCCATAACTGCCCTCAAGTGTTAAACACACACGTATACACAACCATGTTTCCATCACTTCAGAAGAAAGGATGTTGGYATACATTTTAAAGGCTTTATTAACAACCAGGAAAAATTACTTCTTTTCATAGTTATTCTCATTCCAGAGGCTCCTCATGCACGGGATGCCCTTTTTGCTCTTTGCCCATAAGTGATCTTTTGCACGGCTCCGCTCCTCAGACGCCACAAATGGTTAAAGGATTGAAGTTTTTTTTGGTCAGCTACATCTGCAGGAGCATTTTGAATCAAATGAGTTGCAGCTTCTGCAATCAACCTTCTCCTTAAACCCCAATAATCACATAAAAACAGACATACTGGAGAGAATGTATTTCTTGGTGATTTGCCCAACGCAGATCAAGACGCTCGTCTTAGATTAAACTCACTTAAACCTTGAAACATGCAAAGTCATCCTAGAACTTATAATTCATTTTATCTCAACGGAAAAGGCAGGTG